GGTCAGCTTTTTATGTAAAATACCACTCTGTGCGCCGGCCAAGTCAGACATATGGGATCTGATGTCAAAGCTGTATTACCACCTGATGAAAAATTAATTAACTACAAATATTTTACCGTCTTTTTATAAATATACCAAATTTCAACACACCTAATTATTTTTTTAAATCAAATTTTACTGCGCATGTCCAAGGTTTGTTCTTTGATAACACTTTAGTTTGCACTACTCTCCCTCTCTCCCCCCTTTCTCCCTCACCCTTACTCTCTCTCGTGGAATATTACAACATTGTTTAGTAATCTTTCTTGTTACTATATATCTCTGTATTAGCCTTGAGACAACCAATATTGAATATAGGTCTCCCCTTCGTTCCTCCATTTTTCTCTCTCTATCTCTCTCTCTTCTCTCTTCAGTCCTGACCCCCCGGAGGAGTGTATTAGTCGTCATTATCATTATAAATAGTGGCAGTTCCTATAGGTGAATTCAATTCATTCATTAGCGGTTTAAGAAACATGCATTCCTTTCCACATTCACTCTTCGCCACATACTCTGCACACAGTAATATCTGCTGTTGTTACAGACTTATGTTCTCTAGCCTTCCAACTGATGGCTTTGCCACTTACCAAGAGAATCTAACCAGTACATGATTGTCTAAAATATATGATTAAATAAAACGCCATTCTATATAAATATTCTTAATATTGTTCTGAAGCTATTTTCTTGTGGCATTTTAAAGTAATTACTATTTAAAGGGGAATAAGCCACAATTAAAGGTTAAAGTACGTTTATTGATGTTTTAAATGCAACTGAAAATAAACTAAAAAACTCACCATACAATTTTTATCAGTTCGACGGTAAAAAATCGATATCTTTTGATCAGAGTGTCCTATTGACAAAAATTAAAAAGCGTTTTAAAGGTGAAGAGTAGCGCTTATGCATTTTCCACAATTAAAGTAAATATTTATAAAAGTGTTAAATAAAGTTTGCGTAATTTTTGCCATATTTTACGATTCCCATGAGATCATTAAAATTTACCACTTCTCTATTTAACGGTCACTATAGACTTTCCATTGTTAAAGTCCAATCTTCAAAACTTACGGCATGAAATTTCGATGTTGAGTTTTGGAAATAAATATGAGGCATTTCAAATATTCCTAAAAACTAAAATTACTACATTTAAAACTTTCACATTACAAACGGTTGCACTTCACGGAAAATACTTCCATGAACTCGGCATTGTAGTTTAGAAAAACGTGCTTGTCTAATCGAAAATAAGCAGTTTTAAATGTTTTAGATAGTTTGTATGTGAAAGTTTAAATTTAGCGTTATTCAGGCATATTTAAAATGCCTCACATTTGTTGCAAACATCAAAACCGAAATTTTATGTCAGATTTTGAAGATTGGCTTTTAACAATAGAAATTCCATAGTGACCGGTTAATGGAAAAGTGATAAATTTTAATGATCTCAGGAGAATAATAAAATAATGGCAAAAACCGCGCATCTTTTATTTATTTAACACTTTTATAAAAACTGACTTTAATTCCAGAAAAATGCAAAATTTGCGCAAGAAAGCAGCGCTCTTCACCTTTAAAATGCTTTTTAATTTTTGTCGATAGGACATTCTGATCGGAAGATATCGAATTTTGACTGTCGAATTGATACAAATTTCATTTAAAATGGATTTCGCGCGCGTAGCGGCGATGCTTCGAGCGATATTTTTGAGAGAACGGTTTATTTTAAGCAAAAATAAATATTTTTGTTCAAAATTACACAGATTCTTGGTATATATTTTTTCGTTTTTACCTCTACGTAGGGGGGGGGCTGATTTTAGGGGGCTACCTATTTGAAAGGGAGGATAAGTTAATTATTATTACTGAAGTTATCACCTATTTATGCAAAAATCCGAATGCCACCTCTCAAATCCACCTCAAAATAGAACCGCCCTGGTCTATTATTAATCTGATGGCATTTATGACTTTTATTAAATTTTGACAATCGTTACGAATCGAATCTTTTAGTGACAAATTTAAATTTTTTTACTTCTCATTTATTGTGTTCTTTTTATATTTTTCATGCAGTTTTAATTTAAATCTGCTTAGAGGAAATATATGAGGACTAGAAACGAATTGATTGAGAGTAATGAATCGATGTTAAGAATCTCGAAGCTACCCGTGAAACGCCATTTTGTGGCGCTAGTTCCGTGACGCCCACCTAAGCATTTTACTATAAAGAAAAAAATATTAATACAGCTTCGCTTCAAAATGTATTTTCTCTTTTTATGGCGCTGGACTTGCCATAAATAAAGAAATAATATTTAGACTGCGTCAAATTTAACACACTTAAGCTATATTTTTTGACAAAAAATATATTTTAGTTTTTTATTTTAGGCTTTCCCCAAGAGGAGAACACATTGAAAAGTATGAAAACACTACACGCACATACAAGTAATAAAGAACAACATATGAGTCAACAGGTTAAAAAAAATACATTAAAATGTGAAATTTGTGTTAAACAGTTTGCTTGGAAAAAAAATCTCAAAGAACATATGACAATTCACACTGGAGTAAAACCTTATAAGTGTGAAATTTGTTTGAAGCAGTTTATTCGTCCGTACGCTTTGAAAACTCATTTGAGACTGCACACCGGAGAAAAACCATACAAGTGCGAAATTTGTTCGAAGCAGTTCAGTTTTAAAAATTCTTTTGGTCATCACATGAAAGTTCACACCGGAGAAAAACCTTACAGGTGTGAAAGCTGTTTCAAGCAGTTTGCTACTGAAATGTATTTAAAACAACATATAAAAATTCACACTGGAGAAAAACCTTACACATGTGAAATTTGTTTTAAGCAGTTTGCTAGGAAAAGACATTTCAAAGATCATATGAGAATTCACACTGGAGAAAAACCTTATAACTGTGAAATTTGTTTGAAGCAGTTTACTCGTCCGTACTTTTTAAAAACTCATTTGAGACTGCACACTGGTGAAAAACCATACAAGTGCGAAATTTGTTTGAAGCAGTTCCGTCTTAAAAATTCTTTTGATTATCACATGGAAGTTCACACTGGACAAAAACCTTACAAGTGTGAAATTTGTTTTAAAGAGTTTACTACAAAAATGTGTTTAAAACCAACATATGAAAATTCACACTGGAGAAAAACCACACAAGTGCGAAATTTGTTTGAAGCAGTTCACTTTTAAAAACTCTTTAAATTATCACATGAGAGTTCATACTGGAGAAAAATTTTACAGGTGTGAAATTTGTTTGAATCAGTTTGCTACTAAAATGTATTTAAAACAACATATGAAAATTCACACTGGAGAAAAACCTTACACATGTGAAATTTGTTGTAAGCAGTTTACTAGTTCAAGAAATTTAAAAACACATTCAAGATTTCACACTGGAGAAAACCTTACACATGTGAAATTTGTTTTAAGCCATTTGCTAGTGCAAGTAATTTAAACACACATTCAAAATATCACACTGGAGAAAAACCTCACAAGTGTGAAATTTGTTATAAGCAGTTTACCCAAAAAAGTATATTATATAGACATATGCGTGTGCACACTGGAGAAAAACCTTACAAGTGCGAAATTTGTTTTAAGCAGTTTACTCTAGCAAGCACTTTAAAAGATCATTTGAGATTGCACACTGGTGAAAAACCGTACGAGTGCGAAATATGTTTTAAGCAGTTTCCTCGAGAGTACGATTTGAAATGTCATTTGAGAGTCCACACTGGAGAAAAACCTTACGCTTGTGAAATTTGTTTTAAACAGTTTAGCCAAGCAGGTTCTTTGAAATCACATTTGAGGTTGCATACTGGAGAAAAATCCTAGATTGGCACATTTTTATTAATTTGTTGTTATTAAAAAGATAAAAAAAACTGCAAAGATATTTGTTTTGAAAGGTTTTAAGATTGTTAAATGTGCTGTGCAGTTTTTTAGACTCCATGTGTTTGGAAAAAACATTTGAGAATCGACAATGGAAATAAGCCGTTAAAATGTTTATAAAAGATCGCCATCGAGTATTCACCCGAAATTTTTGTACATATCAATTAAAAAATTGTTCATGAAAAGGTAAATCTCAGGAGAATAGTAAAACAATGGCTAAAATCGCGCAACGTTTATTTATTTAAGACATAAAAACTGACTTTAATTTTAGAAAAATGCAAAATTTGCTTAATAAAGCAGCGCTCTTCACCTTTAAAATGCTTTTTAATTTTTGTCGATAGGACATTCTGATCGGAAGATATCGAATTTTGACTGTCGAATTGATACAAATTTCATTTAAAATGGATTTCGCGCGCGTAGCGGCGATGCTTCGAGCGATATTTTTGAGAGAACGGTTTATTTTAAGCAAAAATAAATATTTTTGTTCAAAATTACACAGATTCTTGGTATATATTTTTTCGTTTTTACCTCTACGTAGGGGGGGGGCTGATTTTAGGGGGCTACCTATTTGAAAGGGAGGATAAGTTAATTATTATTACTGAAGTTATCACCTATTTATGCAAAAATCCGAATGCCACCTCTCAAATCCACCTCAAAATAGAACCGCCCTGGTCTATTATTAATCTGATGGCATTTATGACTTTTATTAAATTTTGACAATCGTTACGAATCGAATCTTTTAGTGACAAATTTAAATTTTTTTACTTCTCATTTATTGTGTTCTTTTTATATTTTTCATGCAGTTTTAATTTAAATCTGCTTAGAGGAAATATATGAGGACTAGAAACGAATTGATTGAGAGTAATGAATCGATGTTAAGAATCTCGAAGCTACCCGTGAAACGCCATTTTGTGGCGCTAGTTCCGTGACGCCCACCTAAGCATTTTACTATAAAGAAAAAAATATTAATACAGCTTCGCTTCAAAATGTATTTTCTCTTTTTATGGCGCTGGACTTGCCCATAAATAAAGAAATAATATTTAGACTGCGTCAAATTTAACACACTTAAGCTATATTTTTTGACAAAAAATATATTTTAGTTTTTTATTTTAGGCTTTCCCCAAGAGGAGAACACATTGAAAAGTATGAAAACACTACACGCACATACAAGTAATAAAGAACAACATATGAGTCAACAGGTTAAAAAAAATACATTAAAATGTGAAATTTGTGTTAAACAGTTTGCTTGGAAAAAAAATCTCAAAGAACATATGACAATTCACACTGGAGTAAAACCTTATAAGTGTGAAATTTGTTTGAAGCAGTTTATTCGTCCGTACGCTTTGAAAACTCATTTGAGACTGCACACCGGAGAAAAACCATACAAGTGCGAAATTTGTTCGAAGCAGTTCAGTTTTAAAAATTCTTTTGGTCATCACATGAAAGTTCACACCGAGAAAAACCTTACAGGTGTGAAAGCTGTTTCAAGCAGTTTGCTACTGAAATGTATTTAAAACAACATATAAAAATTCACACTGGAGAAAAACCTTACACATGTGAAATTTGTTTTAAGCAGTTTGCTAGGAAAAGACATTTCAAAGATCATATGAGAATTCACACTGGAGAAAAACCTTATAACTGTGAAATTTGTTTGAAGCAGTTTACTCGTCCGTACTTTTTAAAAACTCATTTGAGACTGCACACTGGTGAAAAACCATACAAGTGCGAAATTTGTTTGAAGCAGTTCCGTCTTAAAAATTCTTTTGATTATCACATGGAAGTTCACACTGGACAAAAACCTTACAAGTGTGAAATTTGTTTTAAAGAGTTTACTACAAAAATGTGTTTAAACCAACATATGAAAATTCACACTGGAGAAAAACCACACAAGTGCGAAATTTGTTTGAAGCAGTTCACTTTTAAAAACTCTTTAAATTATCACATGAGAGTTCATACTGGAGAAAAATTTTACAGGTGTGAAATTTGTTTGAATCAGTTTGCTACTAAAATGTATTTAAAACAACATATGAAAATTCACACTGGAGAAAAACCTTACACATGTGAAATTTGTTGTAAGCAGTTTACTAGTTCAAGAAATTTAAAAACACATTCAAGATTTCACACTGGAGAAAAACCTTACACATGTGAAATTTGTTTTAAGCCATTTGCTAGTGCAAGTAATTTAAACACACATTCAAAATATCACACTGGAGAAAAACCTCACAAGTGTGAAATTTGTTATAAGCAGTTTACCCAAAAAAGTATATTATATAGACATATGCGTGTGCACACTGGAGAAAAACCTTACAAGTGCGAAATTTGTTTTAAGCAGTTTACTCTAGCAAGCACTTTAAAAGATCATTTGAGATTGCACACTGGTGAAAAACCGTACGAGTGCGAAATATGTTTTAAGCAGTTTCCTCGAGAGTACGATTTGAAATGTCATTTGAGAGTCCACACTGGAGAAAAACCTTACGCTTGTGAAATTTGTTTTAAACAGTTTAGCCAAGCAGGTTCTTTGAAATCACATTTGAGGTTGCATACTGGAGAAAAATCCTAGATTGGCACATTTTTATTAATTTGTTGTTATTAAAAAGATAAAAAAAACTGCAAAGATATTTGTTTTGAAAGGTTTTAAGATTGTTAAATGTGCTGTGCAGTTTTTTAGACTCCATGTGTTTGGAAAAAACATTTGAGAATCGACAATGGAAATAAGCCGTTAAAATGTTTATAAAAGATCGCCATCGAGTATTCACCCGAAATTTTTGTACATATCAATTAAAAAATTGTTCATGAAAAGGTAAATCTCAGGAGAATAGTAAAACAATGGCTAAAAATCGCGCAACGTTTATTTATTTAAGACATAAAAACTGACTTTAATTTTAGAAAAATGCAAAATTTGCTTAATAAAGCAGCGCTCTTCACCTTTAAAATGCTTTTTAATTTTTGTCGATAGGACATTCTGATCAGAAGATATCTAATTTTGACTGCTGAATTGATACAAGTTTCATTTAAAATTGATTTGGCGCACGTAGCGGCGTTGCTTCAAGCGATATTTTTGAGAAAACGGTTTATTTTAAGCAAAAAGTGCTAATAAATATTTTTGTTCAAAATTGTCTTGGATACATTTTTCATTGCACAGATTCTTGGTAAATCTATTTTTTCCGTTTTTATTTTCTATTTCTATTTTATTTCTATTTATAATCTATTTCCGACCTATTTGAGAGGGAGAATAAGTTAATTATTATTATTGAAGTTATCACCTAACTATTAGTGCAAAAATGTGAATTCCACCTCTCACATCCACCTCAAAACAGATCCGCCCCGGTCTATTATTAATCTGATGACATTTATGACTTTTATTCAATTTTGACAATCGTTACGAATCAAATCTTTTAGTGACAAATATTTAAATTTTTTTACTTCTCATTTATTGTCTTCCTTTCATATTTTTCATGCAGTTTTTAATTTAAATCTGCTTACAGTAAATATAATGAGGACTACATGCAAATAGATTGAGAGTAATGAATCGATGTTAGGATCTTGCCCAAACAGCACAAGTACGTCCCATGGACGTCCAAAGGATGTACCTCATTAAATGTCCGGACATCCCACGGACATTAGTTTACATCATTTGGACGTCCCCGGGACGTCCAATAAGACCTAAATGTTACCAAAAAGTACGTCCCCTGGACGTCCCAGGGATGTTCACGGGGACGTACATAGTACATATACAGAACTTAATACGGACTTATATAGGACCTAAGAAGGATGTATTGGGGACATCTATTGTACGTCCACATGGACTAATATAGGACCTAAATGAGGATGTATACAAGACCTAAAGGGAACTTAAAATTAATAAAATGAAAAGCAAAAATAAATGGGATTTTTATTGTGTACTTATATTAACATATGTATTTAAATTTACAGTATCTTTTAAGCACATTACTCCTACTTACTTTACAAATGTAGCAACACACCACAACCACAAAAATTACCTATAAAAGTCCTATATACCTACTTAATGTCTATAATAATAAATTACCAAACTATAAACTAGTATCGAAAGCAATAAACTAATTCTAATTACAACCACAACCACAATGATTATAATTCGAGAAATAAACGAGATAAATAGAAGCGTCGTTAAAACATAACCACATTCTTCTTTTATCTACTAATTTTTAAATGTCAGTTCCACTACAGAACAAAATTTTAGAGATACAGCTCTGCTATAGGATTTTTCTCTAAAAGGAGCCTCTGTCTGTTTTCGTATAAATTAAGGGTATTTAAAACGAAATATAAATTTTAAAATAAAGTTTAGTAGGAAGATTTTGTAAAAAATATCATCATTATCAATGGTGCTACAGCCCTATGAAGAGCCTCGACCTTCCCAAGTCTATTACGCCAGGCAGTCCTATCCATTGCCAACCGTTGCCAGTTTGCTGCGCCTATCTTTCTACCATCCTCATCTACACCATCCTTCCATCTGAGTTTTGGCCTACCCCTTTTTCTGCTTCCCACGGGTTGTGACATAAGGATTCTTCTAGGAGGGTAGTTCTGCTGTGATCTTGCTAGATGTCCTGCCCATCTTAATCTTCCTATTCTTATAAGAGGTACTATGTCTTTACCACCAAATATTTGTTTATATCTGTGGTATACCTCGTAGTTGTATCTCCTCCTCCAAACACCATTTTCACAGATGCCACCAAATATTCCTCTCAGGATCCTTCGTTCAAATATAAGCAAAAGGTCTTCGTCTGCCTTGGAGATGGTCCATGTCTCCGATCCATATGTCAACACTGGCTGTATAAGGGTTTTGTATATAGTTATTTTTGTTTTTTGGCTTAAGTTTCTACTTCTCATATGTCTACCCAGTCCAAAATAGCATCTGTTTGCCATTACTATCCTTCGCTTGATTTCTTCCGTTATGGCGTTCTCTTTGGTGATCAGGGAGCCTAAGTATGTGAATTTGTCAGCCACTTCAAAGGTAGAGTTATCAACCGTGAATTGGGGACCGATTTTCCTGGCTCTATTGTTGGGTGTTGATGCCATCATCTTAGTTTTCTCCTCATTTACTTGCAGGCCCATAGATTTTGAGGCATTTGAGAAGGTGGTATACATTTCTTCTAGCTTACGTGTTGTGCGGGCAACTAGGTCCACATCATCTGCATATGCCAAAATTTGGGATGATTTATTAAAAATATTTCCTCTGTTGTCTATTCGGACATCTCTGATCGCCTTTTCCAGTGCTATGTTGAAAAGGAGACACGCCAGCGCGTCTCCCTGTCGCAGCCCAACATGCGTTCCAAACGCCTGTGATTGTTCGCCCTGTATTTCGACTTTGCAAACCACATTACGCATTGTAGCCTTAACCAATCTTATCAGTATCGGGGATGTGGAATTCATTCATTGCTTCATACAATTTATTTCTTAGGACACTATCATAGACAGATTTGAAGTCTACAAAAAGATGGTATGTATCGATATTGAATTCATTGGTTTTTTCCAGTATTTGCCTTAGCACAAAGATCTGATCTGTTGTTGATCGACCAGGCCTAAAGCCACTTTGATATTCCCCGAGAAGTTCCTCTGAATATGTACTTAGGCGACCATATATGATCCTCGAAAATATTTTGTATGCTGTATTAAGGAGGGTTATTCCCCTATAGTTTCTACATTCCAATTGGTCACCCTTTTTGTGTAGCGGGCAAACGATTCCAATACACCACTCTTCCGGGATTTGTTCCTCATTCCAGGCTCTCAGTATTATATGTAAAAAATATGCTTAAGTAAAAAAATGACAGTTAACACCTAGAAAACGTCCCTAATACATCCCTAATGGGACGTCCCTTGGACGACCTTATGGGACGTCTCTGGTATGTCCCACTAGAAATATCCCTTGGACGTCCTTCAGACGTCCAAAAGAAGTCCCGGGACGTTTGGACCTTAAAACGACATCAAATTGACGTCCCAGGGATGTCCTGTGCTGTCTGGATGACGCTACCCGTGACACGCCATCTTGTGGCGCTAGTTCCGTGATGCTTGCCTAAGTATTTTACTGTAAAGAAAAAAAAGTAATACGGCGCGAGTGTAGAAGCTTTGCTTCAAAATGTATTTTCTTTTTTTATGGCTCTGTACTTGCCCATAAATAAAGGAATAATATTTAGATTGTGTCAAATTTAACACACTTGAACTATATTTTTTAACAAAAAATATATTTTGATTTTTTATTTTAGGCTTTCCCCAAGAGAAGAACACATTGGAAAGTATGAAAACAATACCCGCACATACAAGTAATAAACAATACCCGCACATACAACAGGTTAAAAAAAATACATTAAAATGTGAAATTTGTGTTAAACAGTTTGCTTGGAAAAAAAATCTCAAAGAACATATTAGAATTCACACTGGAGTAAAACCTTATAAGTGTGAAATTTGTTTCAAGGAGTTTATTCGTCCGTGCGCTTTGAAAGCTCATTTGAGACTGCACACTGGAGAAAAACCATACAAGTGCGAAATTTGTTTGAAGCAGTTCCATCTTAAAAATTCTTTTGATTATCACATGAAAGTTCACAGTGGACAAAAACCTTACAAGTGTGAAATTTGTTTTAAAGAGTTAACTACTAAAATGTGTTTAAACCGTCACATGAAAGTTCACACCGGAGAAAAACCTTACAGGTGTGAAAGCTGTTTCAAGCAGTTTGCCACTGAAATGTATTTAAAACGACATATGAAAATTCACACTGGAGAAAAACCTTACACATGTGAAATTTGTTTTAAGCAGTTTGCTAGGAAAAGACATTTACTCAAAGATCATATGAGAATTCACACTGGAGAAAAACCTTACAAGTGTGATGTTTGTTTGAAGCAGTTTATTCGTCCGTACGCTTTGAAAATTCATTTGAGACTGCACACTGGAGAAAAACCATATAAGTGCGAAATTTGTTTGAAGCAGTTCCGTCTTAAACTTTCTTTTGATTATCACATGGAAGTTCACACCGGACAAAAACCTTACAAGTGCGAAATTTGTTTTAAGCAGTTTCCTCGAGAGTATGCTTTGAAATGTCATTTGAGAGTCCACACTGGAGAAAAGCCTTACGCTTGTAAAATTTGTTTTAAACAGTTTAGCCAAGCAGGTTCTTTGAAATCACATTTGAGGTTGCATACTGGAGAAAAATCTTAGATAGACACATTTTTAATAACTCGTTGTTGAGCAGTTTTATTAAAAAGATAAAAAACTGCGAAGATACTTGTTTTGAAAGGTTTTAAGATTGTTAAATGTGCTGTGCAGTTTTTTAGACTCCATGTGTTGGGAGAAAATTTTTGAGAATCGATAATGGAAATAAGCCGTTGAAGTATTTATAAAAGAACGCCATCGAGTATTTAACCGAAATTTTTGTATATATAAATTGAAAAATTGTTCATAAAAAGTTAAATTTGTATTATAAAAAATAAATAAATTTAGATAGAAAGGCATTTCATTAGATGTTTCCGAACTTCCATCCATCCTATGGCGCTACAGCCCAATTAGAGCCCTGGCCTCCCTTACCCCCACCCCTCTCCATCGGTCAGTAGTCATTCTCTTCCACAATCGCATCTTGCATTCAAAAGTTTTCTTGGAAGCCTGTTTTCTTCCTGGAGACGAACATACTGAGATAAAGGTGGTTGATAATACTCATTGCTGATCGTTTTTCTATCAAGATGTGGTCTCCAAACTTAGATAATGATAATATGTGTTGCTGTAAGTGTATAGGTTATGTAATAAATTCAATACAAACAAATTACAGATCCCATTAAAACCATAAAGTTTTGCATGGGCCACGTTAGTTTTCATTTTGTTTAGTAAGTAAATTTACAGGCACGCATAATAAGAATTTATATTAAACGAACAGGAAAGGAAAGGTGAGTTCATTTATTGTTAAGAGTTTATTTTTAAAAAAAAATTCTGTACCCACCTAAGGAGGGTTTCTTCCCCCGAAATGTCGATGAAAGGTGCTCCGAATAAGGCGTTGCAAGATATAGTAGAACATGGCTGATGGAGCTATGTGGTATGTTAAGAGAGCGGCTATTGACTATGTTAAAAACAATAGGGTACAAGGAACTACGACATTAAAAGGTTTTTATTCTTTCATATGATCAATAGACCCCCAAATATAAAAAAACCACGAAATGCTTCCATTTAATATGGTGCGTTTTTGAGAAAAGGGTGAAAAATTCAATTTGGGTGAATTTTTTTTGACAAAAATTTATTCAAAAAAAAAACAGTTGGTGTGTTCAAAAATTGTCATCTACTTGTTTTGTGTAAAAAGTTAGTGATAACATTAGTGCTTTGAGATCTCACAATGTCTTTCTCTTGGAGTTCTAGGCCAGAAATAAGAAACTCTATATCTGAGAGAAGAGTCTTAAATTTAAAGTCAAGATAGACATTTAAAAAAAATAATAATTGCTTTCATTGTTTAAAAAGATAATTTTTTTTTATTTGTAACAATTTTTATATTTTCCACAATTTATACGTCAGTAACATTTGTAAGTTTTTGTAGCATCTCCTGACTTTGTAAATCAGTAGAACACATGTAAGTTTTCTTTATTATTTTGGTAAGAATCTCTAAGAAACTAATACAGCATTGTTTGTGCTGTCTGTATTTGTGTAACTGTTTGTGATATGACACAAAAATAAATGTTAAATTTTGTTTCTTAACATTTCGTCTATTTTTTTAAAATTAATTTTTTTTTTCTTTTCGAATAGTATCCCAAGTTATCGTTACAGAAATGTCGCCCAGATATGTTTTGATTTTTTAATAATTATTTTCCTATTAAAACTAGTTGTTGTAATAGTTATAATTAGGCACCTTAAAGTGGCGCCCTATATTAAATTATAAGAGGTGTTTCCTTTTTATTTTGTTTGTTCCAAGAGATTAATGCCCCCTTTATTTCATTTTTTGTAGTTGACCCATTCCAAACCCCTTTGCCATTTACTTATCTACGACCCCAGCTCTCTTAACAAACCCTGAGTGCCGTTCGCACAAGTAGCGATTATTTTGCTTGCCTTATCTCTACCCCCTTAATTTCAGTCCCCAATTTTCTACCCCTTGTATTAATACCCCATGTGGCAGGCAAAATATTTCGTTACATCGTTGCCAAAAAGATCGATCTCCAAAAACAAAAAAAGTGTTATTCCTCCATTACACATGTCACAGTCAAAAATAAAAAAACAAAAATTTGACCACCTTCAAAGCTTGAAAGTTGTTCTTGATATACAATATTGGGATTCTTTTGACAAATTAGTTCATTAATTATGTGGTTGATGTTTATTTAGAATTTTAGTTTGTTCCTGTTTAAAGTTTATTGTTCCTAAAATATTGTTATGTTTCTTACACATTTAGGTTTATATTCAGTTATTTTCAATATCTGAATAAAATTTTGTTCAATATTTTGTGCTGTTTACTAGTGCTTTAAGAATTATAGTTGTTTATAGTAGGTATGTTTAGTATCCAAATAAATAAAAATTTGGTCCCAATAAGCCTACAGTGAGTTTCCAAAACCTTTTTAGTCAACAATTAGAATCCTTCTGTTAACACAGTGAAATTTTACTTTGAATAATCATTAAATAAGCTATGTACAAATACTCGAGTATACGATCGTATCTAAAAAAACAAAACTAATTTTTTGTACAAGACCTCGTATGAAACATGTTTTTTACAAATTAACTTTTACTCTTATAACTAAATATAGTTAAAAAAGAATGGCATAAAAACGTCTTATTTATCTTTATAAGGTTTTTTTGACCTCCTGGAAAATTTTCATATTTGCACATACGAGGTCTTGCACTTTCACCGACAATATTGACCCCTGCATAGAATAACGTTGTAAAATAACTAACATTTTTGGTGATTTTTAGTAACGAGTTCTTCTTGGATAACTTTTTACGCTCTATCTATCAACATGGTCGGTGTGGCTGCAACTGCATTAATAAGAAAGATTCCGAATGGAATAATACCGTAAATATAAAAAAAAATTGAATTATTTGTAGAATAACAGAGTAACTACAGATACGACGTTGAAGCAAATCAAATTTTTGTCGAAAAATACTATATCCTACTGTTACGAACATGCATTCAGCGCGGCCCGTCTAACGGTTGCATCTCAGGCATCGAGAATCATCGATGGATAGATCCCTCGAAGGCAAGAGAACAATCGGTCACGTACGCCTAGAGGTGGGAACTTTCTGGAAAATAGTAACTTTGGTATATATATGTAACGATCTTAGGAGTTAGTTGAGTTGATAAGAGAATACCGAACTGTACAGTTATAAATAAATATATTTATATAAATTCGAACCGCTCGTTTTATTTAATCTCGCTACAATTGGTGTCACAGTGTAAGGACAATAATTGATTTATTAAAAAATAAATTCAGCAGTGATTTTGAAAACGAAAAGACTTTTGAACTTTTGAAAAGTATTGTTCGTGGGGAGCATCCGCGTAGTTCGGTAGTGATCGTTATACGAAAGAACATTTAAAAAGTACGTGTGTACCCGACCAAAGATGCTGCTAGTACAACTTTATGTAAAACAGTTGCGTGAGCAACTAGAAGAACGCGATGAAGATTACAGCGGGTCCAAGAAGATCCTCCAAGAACGACTAAAGAATGTTCTTAATAAGAATGGAGATGACCCAGAGACATTCCAGTTTCAATCAGCAGAAGAAACAGTTTTAACAAAAATGAATGACAAATTTGAAAATGTGTCGCATATGATTGAAGAATCTTCTAAAAAACATGATAATAAATTAGAGAACGTTTCCAAAAGATTCGATGAAACATTCGAAAATGTATCTAGAAGATTCAACGAGACTTCACAAATAATTAAAGAAATATGTATTCAGAACAATGAGAAATTCGAAGAAGTTTCTAAAACATTCGATAAAGTAGAAGAGAAGATCAAACAGTTAGAGAGCATGATAACCAATACAAAATTGCTACCACCAGTTAATACACTAGTTGTAGATCCGGTAGTGAAAGAAGAAGTACATAGAGACGAAATGACACATCATATGAGATTCAAATTGCCACCATTTGATGGAAAGTCCTCTTGGTCCATATACCTTAGACAATTTGAAGCCATTGCGACAGCCAATCATTGGATAGAACAAGAAAAGGCTGTTTCCTTGACTGCTGCTTTACGAGGTGATGCTGCAGATATCCTAAGATCGATTCCTAAGGGTCAAGAAAAATGTTACCAGACCTTGTTCACTCGACTAGACAAACGTTAAGGAGATGCTCATCTACAACAAGTCTACAAGGCGCATATAAGAAGTAGAACTCAACGAGCAAGTGAAAATTTGCAAGAGTTTGAAGCAGATGTTGCTCGTATAGTGCGGTTGGCTTATCCGGAGGTACCAGACAACGTTTTGGAAGAAATTGCCGTAGATACCTTCGTCAATGGGTTAAAAGAAAGTGAATTACAGAAAGCTTTACGACTACCAAGACCGAAAGTTCTAGATGAAGCGCTCGCTATTGCCTTAGAACATGAAACAGCTAGTCAAACTTCACGGAGCCATCGAGTAAGAACCATTGAAGATGGCGAAGAACGAAACGATAAACGTCTGGAGGAAATCGTACGGAAAATAGTTCGTAACATGATGCCGAAGAGACGTGAACCCAGATGTTGGAATGGTAACAACGAAAGTCACATTCGTCGTAAATTACAAGAAAATAATACAACAGTCAGAAAGCTAGAACAGATGGAACACTGGGCGGGAAAAAGTCATTCAAATGCTAATGTTCAGTCAAGACGGCCATACAGTGTAAATCGAGGGATAATCATTATCCCTCCAGAAACTGACAGAGAATGTAGCTTAGAAGTAATTTTAAACTGTTTGTCCTCGTTTTAGTGTAGTGTTTTGTATAATTTATGTTAGTTTTAATGTTTCCACATCCTACGCTTGCCGGATAGTTCTTATTTTGACGAAATGCCCCTGAAGATGCTATTTTAAGCGAAAGTACTTGGGCTTGATTTAATTAACCTGTGCTCGATAATAGCCTTATTTTCAAAGTTCATTTATTCGAGCATTCAACCTCATTTCATTTAAAAGTAAAGTGTCAGAAGTATTGCGTCAGTTACATGACGGTGCATCAGGTGGACACTTTGGTATTACGAAGACTCTGCAAAAGGTTCGAGAACGGTTCTATTGGGTGAACTGTAAATATGATGTAAGAAGATGGTGCCGGAAATGTGAACTGTGTGCAACCAGTAATGGTCCAGTTGGTAAAAAAAGGGCACCCATGAAACAGTACAATGTTGGTAGTCCTATGGAACGAGTAGCAATCGATATTGCAGGTCCACTTCCAGAGACAAATGATGGAAATAAATATATCCTGGTAGCCATGGATTATTTTACGAAATGGACTGAGGCTTATGCGCTACCAAATCAAGAAGCAGCTACCGT